CCCGCCGCGGTGGCACCTGTAGCCGATGTCGTCCCAGCCGCGCACGTCCTGGTGGAAGCGCTGCATGGCGCGCATGGCGCCGGCGCAGGCGGCGAAGCTGCGGCACGGCGCGCCCGGCTCGTGCGTGTGGTGGATGTAGACGGAGGCCAGCGGAGGCTCCAGGGCGCTGGGGGTGCCCCGGTAAGGGCGGGCGCCCCACATGCAGCGGGGCACCACGGCCGGGCACTCTGTGGGGACAGCGGGGGACGGGGGTGAGGGTGGCGGGAGGTTCCCATTCTGTTCTTCGGGAAGCTCCTTGGGGCCTCTTGGGACCATGGGGACCTCCTTGGGGAGGTCTTGACACCATGAGGTGAGGCTGGGGACCCCTTGAGGACACAGCAAGGTGTGGCTGGGGACGTCCTGAGGTCCATCAGTCAAGGGACACCCTGGTATCCATCCAGGGGACCCTGGTGTCCATCCAGGGGACACCCCCATGGCCATCTAGGGGACATCCTGATGTCCACCAGTCAAGGGACACCACAGTGCCCATCTAGGGGACATCATGACATTCATCACAAGGGACATCCCAATGTCCATCCAGGAGACACTCCCATGGCCATCTAGGGGACATCCTGATGTCCACCAGTCAAGGGACACCACAGTGCCCGTCTAGGGGACATCATGACGTTCATCACAAGGGATATCTCGATGTCCATCCAGGAGACATCCCAGTGACCACTCAAGGGACACCCTGATGTCCACCAGTCAAGGGACACCACAGTGTCCGTCGAGGGGACATCATGATGTTCCTCAGAAGGGACATCCCAATGTCCTTCCAGGAGACACCCCCATGGCCATCTAGGGAACACCCTGATCTCAATCACAAGGGACACCCCAACRTCCCTCCCATGTCCACCCAGGAGACACCCCAATGTCCAACCACCACCCCCGCAGGTGCCACCRCCCCGGGCCACCTCCCTACCCACGTAGACATCCATGAAGTCCCGCGCCGCCCGCCGGGCCACCTTGGCCACCTCCTCGTCCCCAAGGTCCTCCAGAAGGTGCCGGGTGGCCGGCAGCGCCCGCAGCAGACGCAACGTGGCCACCACCTCCTCCTCCAGCTTCTCGGTCGTCGTGACGTTCCCGAAGCGCCCGCGCCGGTAGCTGCTGGGCGCCCGCTCGCCCGCCGCCCCGTAGCCGTAGTAGCCCCGCAGCAGAGCACCCAAGGGTGCCGGCTCAGCGGCCAAGCGGGCGCCCAGCAGCACGCCGTCCAGCGCCCCGTTGGCCAACGCGTCCGGCAYGGCCCAGGAGGGCCCGGCCAACGTGAAGACCTGCGGCTCCTCCACGTCGTCCCAGCAGCCGTGGCGCCCYGAGGTGGCCCGGCTCCCGTTGGCCACGGCCAACGCGTAGGAGGTGGCCAAGACCTCGGCCACGGTGACGGYGTAGAGCGGGTCCGGGGACCCCACGGGGGCACCGGCCGCCCGCTTGAGCCCCACCTCGAGCCCCGCGAGCAGAGGGCCCACGGCCACCGAGGAGCCGTCGGGGGCCAGCAGCACCCCGCGCTCGGCCACCTTTGGGTGCAGGAGCTCGGCCAGCAGCGCCCGCTGCGGCGGCGCCAGCGTCCCCAGGGATTCGGGGGCGACGTCCCGCGGGACGCCCAGCACGGCGCGGCGCAGCGGGGTG